TCATGCTTGTATTGGCATGGCACCGTATGAAGCATTGTATTGTAGGAGGTGTAGAACTCCATTGTGTTGGTATGAGTCAGGCGAGAGTGTTGTGCTCGGACCTGAGATTGTGCAGGAAATGACTAAGAAGATCAAGATGATCCAAGAGATGATGAAGGTTTCTCAGAGTCATCAGAAGAGTTATCATGATAAGAGGTGGAAGGAACTTGAGTTATAGAAGGGAGATTATGTGTTTTTGTGGGTTACTTCAGTAACTGGTGTTGGTAGGGCTCTAAAGTCACGAAATCTGATGCCACATTTTGTTAGTTTGTATCAAATTTTAGAGAAGGTATATGAGGTGTCCCATTAGATTACTTTACCCCCGTCGCTTGTGAATCTTCATGATGTGTTTCATGTATACCAGTTGAGGATGTATATTCTAAATCCTTCACATGTGATCTAATTAGATAATGTACATGTGAAAGATAACATGGCAGTTGAAGCATCACCCGTGCGGATAGAAGGTCGGGAAGTGAAACAGTTATGGGGTAAAGAAATTTCCTTGGTGAAAGTACTGTGGGATGGACCAGCTAGTGGAAGTTTGACTTGGGAGTGCGAGGATCAGATGAGAGAGTCTTATCCGACTCAATCTCCATGATGTAATTTTTGGGACAAAAATTCTTTAAGTGGGGAATTATTGTAACGCCCCAAAATTCGTAATTAATTGTTTAATTAATTATCTGTGAGTGTTTGTGATTATTGGTGAATATATGAATTATTGTGATTTATATGATGCATTGTGGTGTGTTGGTGATACGATGTTATAGGGTAGTGTTGGAATGAGAGAAATATGAGGATTATTTATAATAGATAATTAGTTTATAACTGTTTAGAATTTAAATAATTAGTTGGGATTAATTAGATTTAATAAGAATATTTAGAATTATTATTTATAATAAAATGAGGAGAATAATAGTGTAAGACAAGATGGGCAAGATAGTAACGTTGTGTGGAAAGGGTGAGGGCAAGGATGAAATAACATATTAAGGGTCCTAGGGGTAAGAGTGACAAAATGGAAGATTGGGGTTTTTATGCGATCATTCTGTACGATCGAGTTTTGGGAGCGACAGTGAACGATGAAAGAGCAAAGCATTGAGTAACCCGAGGATTTTGCCGAGAATGCAAAGAGAAATATCAAAAGCTAAGAATCTAAGGTAAGGGTGATCCTTATTATTATAATTGATATATGGGGTTTAGATATGTGTAGGATTGTGTTTTGGGGTTTTTGATGAATTCCATAATATGATGATTTTTTTATGAATATGATGATTTTGATGTGTAATTCCCATTATTTGATAACCATAATTTGTAAGACAATGTATTGTTAGTGTTTTATGGTAATGTGATCATTTTTGATGTATTTGGAATTGTACTAGTGTGTAAATTGCAAGCGTTTGGGACTGAACTGATGCAGGATTACAATTGAGAAGTTGATGTCAGGTTGCCACCGTTAGGTGAGCCATCAGCAGCGCCGGGCGAGTGACTTCTCCCCAAGCAGCGCTGGGTGAGCTCCAAGCAATGAAACTTGGAAAATTTCATGCTCTTGGAAAAAAGTGAAGCGCCTCAGCTTCGCCGGGAGAGCGTGGGGTGATGAAGCAGCACCAGGCAAGCTCTTTGTGTTACTAGGTGAGCCTCAATAATGCAGATTGTTTCGTCGGGCGAGCCTCATGCGAGCAGATTGGGACAAATTTATTTTTAAAACTTTTAAAATTCATAACTCGAGTTGTGAGTGTCCGATTAATGCTTGGTTCAGATAATTGGAAAGCTGGTTTAATGTGCTTCCTCTTAAAAATATTTTCAGTACCATTATTCTAACTATTTGACAGACAAACGGTTATTTTGTATTGTCGAGTTATGTCAAGGCCTAATGTTATCGATGATGTTGTTGTGAAATTGATTATGATGATTTTGATGCTTGATGACGTGCATGATAACTATACTTATATATGCTATGTGATGATAATGGTGTGATGAATGAAGTTGACATTTAAGTATGTTTTATGTGAGTACATGCTATGTGAAGAATGTTATTATGATGATTACATGAACTATGATACAATTTACTAGCCTTGGTCAAATTATTATTGGTGTTGTGCATCATACATTCATGGTATATATTAGGACGTTGGTCCACTTATAATGTTAGGAAGTTTGTCCAGTGATGGCCTCAATCCCATTGTGTGGATTGAGTGAATTTTTTGATGTGCTCCAATTCCAAGAGGGAATCGATCCCATGGTGGAGATCTTTGGAGGGCAATGACCCAATGTTCATCAGTGAATTTTGGTACCACGTGCATGAGTCAATGAAGTTGCCTTATATTGTTTGTGTCATTGCATGATTATTGTGACTTAAGTGATGTCTGGTGAAGAATGTTGATTTGATTATATAATGATATTGTGATGTATGATGATATATGGGCTACTTGATGATTATTGTTGTAATTACTATATCTATTTTGTATATCTTTTGTAATGATTTGTGATTACTCACCCTTTGTTTTAATGTTGTCTCCACGTTGGGTAATGTGCAGGTGATCGTGAATAGCTCGTAGAAGCATGAGGATAGTTTTGAATTTATATAGTGTGTTTCAGTTGAATAATAAGGGTCTTGCTCTGATAGGTAATATAAGGGTTTTGGGGAAACGTTTGAATTAAACCTTTTGTACTTTTGTTTTGACATGATGTATAAGTTGTTTCTATTGTTCAAGTTGTTTTGAATCTTAACTTATGAATGATTAAGTATGATAATGTTTTCTTTGAAGAATTGTGATTAAACCATGTCGAGACAATGATTCCGCTGTGAAGTTTGAAGTTTGAAGTTATGTAACATTATTAAAGAAGTGATTGCTTTAATTTTGAAAAACACGTGTTACGGAGCAGAATGTTTGATTAAGATGTTTTTATAAAGATGTAACACCCAAGTTTGTGGTTTGTGTTTAATTATTTATTAAATTATTCATGTTATTTGTTGGGTTTAGAAGGGTGTTACATTAGTGGTATCAAAGTTGGTCAGTCTGTGCGGTTAGGTTTTATATGATGTTTATACCTTGAATAGTCTATTTATGTGTGAACATAATCGATGTTTTATTTCTATAATGATGTTTGACTTTATATAGAAAGAAATGGCTGGAGAAAGAAATGTGTCATACCTCAAATTTTCCCTATTAATTTTTTATTAATTTATTCTTTATTATTAACAGTTTCATTATAAAATTTAGATTACTAGGGATAATTTCATTGTAGGGTTTAAACCTTAAAGAGAGGGTGTATTTTAATACAGGGTTCAGTTTTTTTTTCTCTAAATCAGAAAAGCCCGAGTGATTTGCCTCTAGGCCCAGTAAGGTTTTTTTATATTTTATGTTAAGAGTTAGGCCCATTAAGGTTTGTTAAAAGTTTGCTAATTAATGGAGAGGGGGTGTATTGTCTTAAACGGGCCATTAAAATCTGATGACCCATTAAAACCATTTTATTGATCCGGTTCAAAATAAAAAGGGGGTGTGCAGTCTTTATTGGGGCGGTCCATTAAGAATTCTTTTTTGATGCCCAATAGTTAGATAATTATGGTCTATTTATCAAAATGCCTACTTTGTTTTACAAAATTATTTTATGTTTATATTATTATTATAATTATAATTATTATTATTATTATTATTATTATTATTATTATTATTATTATTATTATTATTATTATTATTATTATTATTATTATTATATCCATTATTATCATTTTTAAGTCTAATTAGTCATAATTTTTTTGTTTACTTTTTAAACACGTTGACTGAGGTCAACCAAATCCATTTAAGGATTTTTGAAATCCTAAGCGCCCTGTTATTCTTCATCAGGCCCAGAAATCAGGCCCAATAAACACATAATGTATAGATTCAACAAAGAAAAACACATATGAAACTAAAATGAAACAAGATCTTCATAAAATCAAATATTGGATTAAATCAGATCTAGAAATTAATATTTGTTTTCTATTCAATGAAAACAAATCTATACAATAACAAGTTCAAGTAGAGATTACAAAACATTAACCCCAAACAAAATCTTTCTAAATCAATCACTAAATCAAATCGAAACCCTAAAACAGAATAAAATCTTGTTAATGCTTTCTTGAAACATTACCACTATAACACTACAATGGCTCCTAATTGCACTCAACTTCAAGGTATGACACAAAAATCTAAAGAATCTTTTAAAGCGTACGCCATAAGGTGTCGCGAACATGCGGCAAAGGTCCAACCTCCTCTCTTATCATGAATTGATTGATTTGTTCATGAGTACCTTACGAAGTTAATATCTAAAAAAAAAAATTTAATAAAATATCTAAAATAACATTTTAAAAATAACTATTCAAGTCATATTTTCACAAAATTATGTAACACTAAAATTATTTTTTTTAAAAAGCCAATACAACAAGCTCAATGAGTCTTATGGACAACTGTAGGAGAAGCATGATGCACTCTCACAAAATATAAGGTAGATCATTTGGGATTGCCTACACAGGATCAGAGTCGGCATCTACAAATTAAAGCAATCGCAACAACCTCAAATGTTAAAAAAAAAATGGTGAAACTTTTGATTGAATTACATCAAGGAATCTTCACGCCTACACACCTACTTCTAAATGTTAATAACAATTTAAAAGCAACAAAATACAGTGCATAACTCAAAAATCAACAGGGGCAAAAGCAACAAAATTAAGATTTTCTTTGTTAACCTTTGGAACTCAGTCTCATTTTAGGACTACAAAATTGATTAGCTACAAATCTAATTGGGACAAGAATCAAGCTAAGCTTATACAACATAATTTTAGCAGTGCACCCCCCTCTTTGTTGATGTGTATGGAATAAGCATTGACCAGATCTGATTGCGAGGTCAATAATAAGATCGCACACTGCTCTAATTTAGTGACCACCCATGCATATATTTATGACAAGGATTATTAGTTTCGCACACTACTTCCTTTTGTACCTGAAAGGGAATTTCAATAACATTTTAGTTTTCATTTTTATGTGATAATCAAGAACAAAATTGATATCTCTATTGATGCTTTAAAAGACAGGGTAATAGATTTATTTAATTTGATACCTTGACTTGCTTTTGAATGATTTATTGGGCTTCTTTCCTAGTCCAGAACCTCTCTGTTTTGGCTTTTTATCCTTCATGTCAGTCTGGAATAGCTCCCGCATCTCTTCTGTCCTTGAAGAGGAAGTCTTTCGAGGATTGGATTTATTAGATTTCTTCTGAGGCTTCTTCACAATCTTTCCAGAATCTAGTGCCCTCTTGACGGCCTTTACTGCTTTTGCACGTCTGTATGCAAGATCAGCAAGTGTCATTCCACCCTTTTCATTCTTATCTGTCCCCTTACCCTGCATTTCATTTTTCAGTGTAACAGAAAGTGAGGAATAAGGATTTCGTCCCAACCGTTCTTAAGCATAATAGAGAAAGTTAACAGCTTACTTTTGGCTTGTCATCCTGCTCCTCATCCTCCAACATCTCTCTAGCTGCTTCCAATTTTCTGCGTTTCTTTCTAGGCATATTTTTCTGCATCGTAGATATTTTCCATTAAGTAAACATGCAAGTCGTAACAAAGCGTACAAGCAATTTTATGTACATTCTATATGTAACAAAATAAGCTGATCCATATGCAAAACAAGATTGGGAAACACTTGTTACCTCTCGCTCCCGTTTCCTCTTTTCCTTCAATTTTAGGTCTTCAGCTTCCTGGGCACTAACCATCTTCTGAGAAGACCCATTTTCCTTGTCCATGGATGCCTGTTAACAGTCATTTCACATCTTATATTTCAGATCTTACATATAAGCAACTTCTCAAAAAGTAGTTAAGGAGTTTTTCTAACAAGCAAGAGGCCTTAAATAATTCTATTGAAAAACGTTAGCTTTCTTTCTAAAAAAAACTTATATTTAGCTTTAATTTTAAAGTAGTCTTTCAAACCAAAATAAGTCAAACCAAAATAAGTCAAACCAAAAGGAGCCTATGACCTTGTCTGGACTGGCCAGACATACAATTGTTCTTAGAATTCTTTAGTGATCTCCTGTAAAATGGGAGAACCAATGCCTGCTTTTAGAGGAATATCAGTAACATAAATCAATACGGTACCTTTGCTGCTTTAGCTGAAAGCTTCTTCTCCTTCTCTGTAACAAACCAGGTTCTTTTGGGGCGGGAGAAGATCTCATCCCTGTGTGCAATCATGTTTTCGGCCTGTAATATCATATTAAAAGTGTGATTTTATTGACAGGACAATGTTAAGAATGAGAAAATGGAAGTAACTAAATTCACAGAATACAAAACGGTACTATTAAGACAATATTTTGTTACTTTAGAAATGCTTTTTCTTAATATAAGAAGTCAACGGACAGAATGAATCAAAATTACATAGTGCACTCCAAGGATCAAAATTTAAGCCAAGTAAAACAAAAGTAACTGATCCATACCTTTGTGGCCTCCATTTCAGCTTTCCTTAGGATCATTTCTTCCCTGAGGAAATTGAAAAGTAAAAATTTAGCACAATATTATAAAAGAAAAAGAAACAAACAATGAACCCTTAACAACTAAATGCAATCAAAACCTCTCTTCTTGAAGTACTTCAGAAATTTGATCCTCCATTTGCTCAATTACTTGAGACCACTTGAGTATAGATTGCTCTGCCACAATGCGGCTTTTCAGCTTTGAACCAGCCCTCTTTGCCTAATTAATTAATAATCACAAGAAAGACTATTCAGTGGCATGATTAACGTGTCACCTTTCAATTTCAAATGGGAAAACCAAACTCTCCTAACAGAATAAACATGCAGCAATCCATGAAAAGAATTAAAAATAAAGACTTTTATTAGGCATTATATACAGTTTCACAATGCGGCTTTTCAGCTATGAATCAGCCCTCTTTGCCTAATTAATTAATAATCACAAGAAAGACTATTCAGTGGCATGATTAACGTGTCACCTTTCAATTTCAAATGGGAAAACCAAACTCTCCTAACAGAATAAACATGCAGCAATCCATGAAAAGAATTAAAAATAAAGACTTTTAATAGGCATTATATACAGTTTCACAATGCGGCTTTTCAGCTATGAATCAGCCCTCTTTGCCTAATTAATTAATAATCACAAGAAAGACTATTCAGTGGCATGATTAACGTATCACCTTTCAATTTCAAATAGGAAAACCAAACTCTCCTCACAGAATAAACATGCAGCAATTCGTGAAAAGAATTAAAAATAAAGACTTTTATTAGGCATTTATAAAGTGGTCAACATCAAAGGCCCGCATAATCCAGACCATAGGAAAACTAAAATCAACAGATATATAATGAGTGGTTTTTATTTCTCTATAATGAAAAATGAATGATTTAGAAATGTTGTCATGAAATGTAAAATTAGAATATCTCGCAGGGAAAATTAAGTAAATTTTCCTGAAAGAATCTATGTAACTGAAACCTAACTTGCATGAATTTTTTCATGCAAGGAAAAGCGAGCAAAAATATATGAAGTGGCATAGCCACCACAAAAAGAATGCTGCAAACAGATACAGAAATTCTCCAAATGATACTCACAATAGATTTTAGAAGTGACCGATCATTATCAGTAACAAATGTGACAGCAGATCCCGCTCTTCCAGCTCTTGCAGTACGACCCACTCGATGAACATAGCTTCAAAGTTAATAAAGATGTTAAAGTTTTTAACCCAGAGAGAATGAGATCATAGATAAAGTAACAAAAACTGAAGGATGTACAACTACAGAACAGCCAACACATCACAATATTAGTCGTCAAGAGCAGAGTTTTCATTTATCAACAATATGTTTCATATAGAGTATACCTGGTAAGATCGCGTGGACATGCAAAATTGATAACTGTTTGAACACCGATAATGTCAAGACCCTGTAAGTAAAATTAAGTGACTGTCAAATCTATATTCAAAACGACAAAAGAAAATGCTAATACAAGGACATAAATTTAGGTAGTGTTTGGTTGGACGGGAGCGGTTATTTTAAACTTTTATCAGCTGTTTCTATTTTTATTTGGGGGGGGGGGGGGGGGGGGGATGAGAACAAAATCACTAGAGTCTTGATTCAATTTTGACTCCCTTTCCAATATCTTATCTAGTCCTTCCTCTCACTTCTCTTCCATATGAATTGTTCTATTTGTTTGAACCAAACACACCCTTAGTAAATTTATGTTCCTCTTAAACTAATCTAGTTTCACTATCATTATCCTCGATAAAAGACGAGTTGATGCTATATTCATTAATATTTTATTCCAAAGAAAAATAATCCAATTCTTGAACAAATTCTTACACGAGCAGCCACATCAGTTGCAACCAAAAAATCCACTTGTTGCTTCCTGAACTGTTCCAAAGCCTATACAAACAACCAGAAGTGAGCAAATATAGCCACAACAGAAAATACTCCTTTTAGCACAATCAGAATCACCACTTTAGTATATCCCAAAACATATGACAGTATGATTATATAACTACCAAGCAAAACAAAGAGCTAAAAGATGCAACATACTTCAAGACGTTGGGCCTGAGTAAGATTTCCATGAAGCTCAGCAGCTTTCAATCCAGATAATCCAAATATAATCCTTAGTCTATGTGCCGCTTGCTTTGTTCCACTGCATAACAAATGACAAAGTAGTAGTTAGAGGTAGCAGAACAGTGAAAAATAAATTAATAATTAAAAAGCAGTGTAAAACAAAACGTAAATTCAAAATCCGGAATAAATACTCAAGACTTTCAGTTTACTAAAATCATAGAAAGTTTTGGTCACTTTACAAGTAGGCATAGTAAATAATTATGAAATGAAACCTGAAAATGATCACTTTAGAAGTAAAAGTTTTGGTACACATTGCAAGAAGAACTGCTTCCTGATTGACTTCACGCATTCTTCTTATTCTAACCACCCTGGAAAAAAATAGCAACAGTTAACAAAACTCAAGGGATTTTAATAGATGTTAAAACCATGTAAACATAAAACCGCAAAAAGCTTAACAAAATAGTTGTGCATAATTATGGTTTTTGGATAAAAATAACTCTGCACATGCATGAGAAATATTCTTCTTCGTCTATTTTAAAAACTAAAACAACCTTTAAGTTCTTACCCACCTTAATTTGTGCTTTTGACATTTTTCATACAACATACAGCTAAATATCATAGCATACAGAATAGAAGTCATGGAAGCTAAATGATTAAATTAGAAAATGCAAAGGGAAGTGAAAAAATTACTCCTCAGTCAAGGATGCTGGCCGTTTTGCAGATGGATCAGCAGAAAGACGCAGTGGTTTTGATAGGGAAAGTTTAATAAGATCATCAACCTCCTCGGTCATGGTTGCTGAAAAAAGCATGGTCTGCCTTTTTCTGGGACACACGCGAACCTGTTAAACAACCAAATGTGCTTGATATTGTTTTCTAACTGTTCTAACAGAATGACAATTAATTGTGAAATCACATATATAACGGCAATTATTGTAACATAGGCTTAACTAACACTCACAAGTTCCTGAATTTCAGCACTAAATCCAAGCTCCAAAAGACGATCAGCTTCATCGAGGATTAAAACAGCAAGATCATCCAAATCCACCGACATAGAATTGCGTAAATGGTCTATCATACGTCCTGGAGTAGCCACAACAATGTCTGGCATTGATCTCAAGGCAGCCTCTTGCACCTAGGATGAGAAACAACTACTTTTAGAGCTTAAATAAATAGGGAAACAATCTGCATTACTCACCAATAAGCTCAATAGGATGGCATTTGAATAACTGACATCAATAATATTTCATTTAAAAAATGCAAACCCTGTTATCTGGCTGATTAGTTTGAAATATCGTAATTTGTTAGAGGAACTCATATTATATCATAAACAAAAATAAAGACTAGTGAGTGTTTGAAAGAGCTTATTTGGGCTTCTCTCCACTTACATTGTGTTTGGATACACTAGTAAAAATAAATAACTTAAGACACACTCATGAGTTGTTACCAGTTTACTTCAATAAGCTCGAAGAATGGCATATGAATGAGTGTTAGCAGACCTAAGCAAATGCCTTGGTTTGTTTGGGTATGTTTTAAAAAGAATAAGGATGAGCAGACAGATTCTCATTCAGTTGTTTTTATGTCGTTAGGTTTGGACTAGGCTCTCAAATTCCTAGGGGATTGGTTATTCGTAACGGTTCTTGTTTGGTGTGCACCAGCTTACATTTCCTGTCAATTGTATAACTAGTTCTGCGGGGAGTTATTCTGCATATAGTGTTAATATTAATTACCAATATTCATCCATATCTTCTATCTATAAGCAGTTAATTAAGCTTTCAAGAATACCTGGTTTAAATAGCACTTAATTAAATTATTTGCTATAATCCCCCCCAGATCATAATACTTTACTCAAAGATATCAAATTTATATTAGCATAAAATGCTACTGTATGAAAGATAGAAGGCAATAGAGCATCCTGGCTTGGAACCTAAGCATGAAATTGAAATTGAAATTGAAACAGTAAGCTAACCTTTGTTGACAGACCACCGACAATCAGACAACTCCTTATGTCAGTAAATTGAGCAAGCTTTTCTATCATGCTGTGAACTCTGCAAACAAAGAACCCGGAATGAACATATTTGGAAATAAATTTACATGAATCACCATAAAAAAGTGCTTCCAAAATATACATCTACAACCTTCAAGTGGAAGTTGATGATTAATCATAATATAATAAGTCACAGAATTTGGGTTGGGTCAAACTCATCCCTACAAAACTGGCTTGTAGGGTGAGGATTGCCCGCACTTATAAACACAACACACGTCATATCTCTGAGCAATGTGGGACTAAATCCATCCCTTCAAACCCAACACAACGAAAGTGTTGGGGGCTTCAATTAAGGCAAGCCAAATGCCACAATTAAGGCGACTAGGGGCAGACCGCAATTAAGGTGGAAATTCCAACACACTCCCTCACATTTGGACCTCAATGAGTCCGAAGTGTGGACAATGCGGATAGACTCTGATACCATCTCAGAATGTATGGATTGGGCCTAACTCATCCCTACAAAACCGGCTTGTAAGGTGAGGATTGCCCCCACTTATATACACAACACAGGCCATATCTCTAAGCAATGTGGAACTAAATCCACCCTTTTCAAACCCAACACAATAAAGGTGTTGGGGGCTGCAATTAAGGCAAGCCAAATGCCGCAATTAAGGCGACTAGGGGCAGGCCGCAATTAAGGCAACTAGGGGCAGACCGCAATTAAGGCGGAAACTCCAACAACAAGAAATAAAAAGGATAAAGTTTATTTGAATGAAACCTACTTTGAGTTTTACCATTAACAAGTTTGTACTTCAACTTGCAGTACAAATGTTTTTCATTAATTAAAAAACATAACAAAAAGAAATAAAAGGCACTGAATACATTAAAATCTAGTTTCATTCATTGTACATATATTCATTGAAGCTCAGGCTTTTGAATATGAATCACTGAAGAACATGAATGCAACCCATAGAAATTCATCCAACATATTCGTGCTGCACGAATCGGGCATACAAGTAAATAGGCATACTGCATATTTACCCAAGTAAAAGAAAAGAATATTTACAATTTCACATTACATTTCGATATCGATATGCCACTTACTCTTATGTCACACCTAATATCTGGAATGCCTTTAATGCGATAAATGTGAACCAAAAGTAAAGATACCAAATAATTACGAGGATACGTACTGGGCAGCCAACTCTCTGGTTGGAGTAAGAATAAGGACCCTTATTGCATACACGCGTTTTGGACGAAACAGCAACCTCTCTAAAGTAGGTAGTGCAAAAGCAGCTGTCTGCATGATAACAGGATACGGACAGAGGGCATTAAAAGAAGCTGGTGCATAAAGCTCAGGCAACGAAACACAATAGCACATTATCACAAATTTACAATCGCCAAAATTAAAGTGAGAGGCGGACTACCTTTCCTGATCCAGTAATGGCGCTTCCACATATATCACGACCAGTCAATGCTAATGGTACACAAGCCGCCTAACATCAAGATTCAAAACCCCAAAAATAGATTAAATTTTTCAATCCGAATTGTCCTACATAACCAATCCTAACAATGCTAAAACTCAGAAAGCGGAGCAAAGTAAAATTTTCAAAACAAAGGGATTTATAATGCAAGGAGTTCAACAACCAATAATGCTAAGAGTAAAAATAACAACAAAAAAAAAAAAACAAAGCAAAAAAGAACCTGAATTGGTGTTGGTTTAGCATACCCCAAGGCCTCACAAGCCCTGAGCAACGGGCGAGACAAATTGAGTTGCAAGAAGGAATCAGCACTGAAAGAGGCTCCATCAGAAGGAGCAAAAAAGGACTTAGTGTCACCAGCATTACCCTCTTCTTCATCTTCTTCTTCTGGTCTATAATCTTCCTAATCAAAACCAAGCCCACAACAACAAAATTTTAATCAATTTTCAAAACAAATAACCATAACTTTCTATCAACAATCAGAAAACAACTTCTAAACATTAGATAAAATATGCACTTTTACTATAACCATCCTAACTAAACCCTTTTTTAAAATTACAATTTTTGAACTTCTACCCTAACTCAAGAACAACTTCTCAAAACATATAAGCACTTTTCAATCAAGAATAACGTTTGAAAGCAATTTCCCTATTAAATCCCTATGATTACTTGTTTATCAGGCTCAGAGTCAGAGGCACTGTCTTCATCCGAGTCCGGCAACGCAACGACCGGCGCTGAACGTTGTCTGACGGCTGAGATTTTGTCATTTACTGAGGTAGTACTTCTACGAGCGTGTTCTTCAGCTACTGATTCAGAGTATTTAGTGAAATCCCATGGAGACTGTGTTTTCTTTTTCGAAACCCGCGGTTCTATGACTTCATCTTCTTCTGATTCTAGCTCTGATTCTGATTGTGATTGTGATGGAGATGGTGATTCAGGTTGTTCTTGGTCTGATTCCGAATCAGATTCGTGCTCGGAGAGTTCGATTTCTTCGTCACTGGGAGGGTCGAAGATGAAACTGGGTGACATTGTTGAAAGTGGAGAATGGAGAAGAGAGGTTGGTTGAAACAGGGTTTAGAAAGGGTTCTCTGTTTGTGGAAGCGTTTTTCGAGTTTTTTTGGGCCGGGTCGGAGCAAACCAACTCGTTGATTGTGCATTCAAGCCCAAAATAATCTCAAGGAGATTAGAAGGCTTAACATGCACATGGGCCGGATTTGGTAAAAAGCTTGGAAAACTTTACCCGATACTCTAATAATTAGGCAATTTTTTTTGGAAATTTTTTTGTACACTTCTTAGGAGTGGAAAAAACTCTTGAAAATCCGAAAATATTCTCCAGAGATTATTTTTGAACGCACTTCAAATCAAGGTATTTCAGATATGCATCTTCGAAAGCACCCGAAATACAATTTTGAGATGAATTCGGAAATGTACTTCCGAAATCACCCCAATACATAAGGAACAAGTCCCAATCTCGATGGATTTGACTACACCAAAATCAGTTGGTAGTTATATTGATAAACAACCATGGATTATTAATCAACTTTAGCAATATAACCCATTTGTGGTACAAGGAGATTTTATAAGAAACAAAGTGGAGTTAAATCAAGAGCTTCCATGGGGGAATATTCCATCTTAGGTCTAATTCCAGGAAGATTTCTAAAATCTCTTCCAAAGAACTTGTGGTGCCAACCATCTGCAGTCGAGGTGATACCTTTTTGACAACAGTTGTTAGATCCCAACTCCATAGTCGGTATAATCAAGAGTCAATTTAGATTAAAAGTAAACTCATGGTTATACAACTTTAGATTTTAATACATTTTATTAGAATGATGGATATAGACTATGGAGCATATTAAAAGGTTAATTATGCAATGCAATTATATAAATCATAATGAATTCAACAAACTTTAATCATTCCCTTTATCTTTGATAGGAACAACATTTAAGTGATATTTCTCTATTCCACCTAATTAAATACATACCTGAGCAAAAAAGAAAATGTGTTTCCATGACAAATAAGGGGATGTTTCGGAAGTGTACTTCTGAAAACACCATATTTTTGTTAAAAAATAAGGGGTTGTTTCGGAAGTGTATTTCTAAAACATCCCCTGACACAAGATAAAAATTCTTGGTCTATTTCGGAAGTACATCTCCGAAATCATCGCAGAAAAATGAAATTTCGTAACTTCAACAATATATCTCTGAAACCACCTCAGAAAAATGACCTCTGGTGCATTCGGAGATACATCTTCGAATTCTGGGGGTAAAAACAGAATTTCTCCAGAGGTGACTAAGAAGGTGTAAGGGTGGGGAAATAAATTCCTTTTTTCTGTATATTCTCTCAAACCCCTGGCAAAAAGTTAAAAATGTCGTTTATTTTTAGAGATGGAACTCTAAATGCATTGTTTCCTCTCACATTGTTAAAAATTAATTCAGAGATGTATCTCTATATGTTTTACGATTTGTTCACGGATGTGTCTCCGAGTTAACTCTTGATTTCAAATTAAGGGAAGTTTTTGGAGATGCATCTACCAACGTTTTCAATGTATATATAGCATGCGCCAGACCCTCTTTCTTCTCCTTCTTCATTTTCAGAAACTTTTTCTTCCCAATTATAGCTCGTGAGCAACATTGTTCTTGTCAATTTTTAAGCAATAGAAGAACCTATATTTCAATCTTACCAATCTCAACTCACTCCACATACTACACTGAACGTTATTCATCTTCATCAATATTTTTTGAGAAAATTTTTCATTTAACTTTTTTTACTTTTGATTAATATATAGGGTAAAATAGTTTACTTTTAATGCATTAGGTAGTATTCAAATTCGAAATAGGTAATGTTACATACATGCACTATGATTTGTATGCATTTTGGGTTGTTAGGGAAAAAGTGGTAACTATTTTTTCCTTTGAAGCAAAACACGGGCTTTTTTGGAGACGTATCTTCGAATTTAGTCCTTTATGGTTTTCGGAGATGCATCTCCGAGTTAAGTCTTACCTGCTAAATAATTGCAAACTAATGTCTTTTTTTTTCCAGGAGAATGGTTGCAAACAACAACAAACAGGATGAAACTCAGCCATGAAATCTCCCTTCTAAACCCCAAAGAACATTCGCAAAATAATTCAATAATAAAATCAAAGTAATGCACCAAAAAGGGTGTCACATTGCTTCAAACAAGCTTCATAGTAAAACACATCCTGCTCTTTAATGTAGCGGTAAAAATGTTGAGACTAAGCCATTGCATTGACTTGACTCGCACATATCAAAATAAAAATATCACCACCTTGCTTTATTGTTTCCAGAGGAATGGGAAAAGAGCGAATAACCCAAAAGATATGGGGAGAGAATCGAAGTACGAGGGTTGGTTATGCAAAGGGAAGGTATTAGCACCCTAAACATCTACGATACTCCGCATGAACCTCTTTGAAAATTTGTGTATTTTGGCTATAATTGTTGTATACAAAAATAGATTGTGGAGATGAGAAAATAAGTATTTTTTACAATTTTTGCACCCACCGCGGTTGTGAACCTTTAGTGCCTATGTACCACCTTCCGTGCAATAGGGGATCAGGGTACTCGTAGTTCACCTTTAAAAAAATTTAAAACACAAGTTTGTTGGTTAATTTTAAGAGACGAGACGTCATCATCATATCCGAGTGGAAGAACATACTTACTATCCACGATTATGAGAAAGGAGAATTTATGTCATCTCAAAGTGGAGGATGTGGCTTGGACTTTAATATCAACAAAGTCTCACTTAACACCCAAGTGGAGAATATCTCACTTCACTACATATCGTAGAAGTATAGTAGCTTGCATCACTATAAGGATTGACAAGAGTTTAATCTTTTGAGAAAATTTTAAAGTAAAAAGCCAAAATGACAAAATGGTTTGAATGAGATTGATTGACTTTTAGTCTTCTCACAAAAATGTTAAAGTATGATTAAGTTGGTTAAAATTTGATTTAGAAAATGATTTTTTGAAAATGCATGGACCTAAGTCCAAGTTTATTGTGAAAGTGATTCAAGTTTGAAAAACAATTATAGTTTGGAAAAGGAGGGAGAAGATTTTTTGAAATTAAAGAAGATGGGAGGAGATGAAAGGACTATCCTAAAGCATAAGGTAAAAGTTAGGGAAAAGAACCGTCTAACCAACAAAAAGCCAACACTTGAAACAAAGAGTACATGTAGAATTCTCATCCTTTGGATTGAAACTAAACAATCGAAGATATAAACCTCTTGAGAATACCAAACTTCGAATGCATTAAGTCTTCACAAATATTGGGCAGAGCAACGGCTGTATACAGATGAATTCTCGATCACAGATAAAGCATATAATCAGAATAACCTGCACACAAAGAAAACAAACAACCCAATGTCTCAGGGTAAACCCCAATAACTCCAGACAAAATAACAGTAGAAGTCACAGGGTCCCAAGGTAGGTCAAGGTCTCTACTCCTAGGTCCAAAAAGTCCACAACTATGTCATGTCAAGGATAGTAACAAAATAGTCTGAGTAACCTTAAAGTTTTTTATTGTTCAAGTTGATTATTAGGTATCTTCAAAAAGAAAGTGAAAGCTCAAGTGATCAAAATAAAAATGACATAAAGATAAATGCTCAAGTGAGCAAAGATGAAAATAACATAAAATGTAAATGCTAAAATAAATTGTGCGTAAAAGTAAATGCCTAAAGTAAAAGCATGAAAATAAAAGTCAATTGTTAATGAGTTAGAAATTATAGGCTAGTTGAATGACCATCTTGAAACTTGCATTTGAAAACTCATTAAAAGAATGATAAAATCAAAGTCTCTCAACAACAAGTTTCATTTGCTTTTTGTAAAGTATATCATTCATTTCAAATTCTCGAGGCAACAACAAATGATCAATGATGTTTAAATGATTCACTTAGACCAAAATTTATGATGATTCATTAGAGGATTGATAAGACCAAAGCCTCATAACAATGAACCTCAAGGTTATTGGATCAATGGTATCAAATTAAACATAATTAGGATTGCAAACATAGGTTTGGGCCACGAATGATCATTTCTTGAATCGGGACAAAATTTAATGCAATGTTAAGCAATCGTAAGTGGACTTATATAGAAGTTACATCTATTTTGAGATCAGTTAATAGCAATCTATGTGTCATGTGTTTGGAGAGATGATATATAGATCATCCTCTAACAACATGTAGCGCAAATGAGAAGGGGATGAGATGAAGAGGAAAGGGCTGCATTGTATGAAATTAGGGTTTCAAATACCATCAACATCATTCATCCATTTTGGTGGATTTGGTTTCTCAACCTATCAACACCCAATATCCAATGAGGTTGAGGAATTTGTCATCAAAATAAAAACTAAGTGAGGGGACATATCAAATCGATAATACGATTAAAAGTCTAAATAAACCAACAATACAATCCAATCGAAATTAATTAAATAATCAATTAAATTGAACTATCTTGTTTAATAAAATTAATTAACAAAATGATTAATTATATTAAAAATTATTTTCCAACCTAATTAATTATTTAATATATATATATCTATTTTAGTATTTTAATTTTTGATAGAAATAAAACAAAAAAATAATAAAAAGAAAAAATATAAAGAAAATTGTATTGGGCCTGAAACTAGCAAATAAGGGGGTGCTGAAAAGCAAGAGCGCCCAAGGCCTAACAAGGAGGTTGCGTTGATCCGGTGTGAACAGATTCGGGGAGTCCACTGTGAGCTACATCCTTCTGAGGCGTTGGATCTTGATCTGCAGATATCTGAGGATGATGAAGGGATGCGCATATTTACTATGATAAGGATACCTGTGCTAAATTAAAAAAAAGAAAGCCACAAAGGCGGTGACACTTGTCACCGCCAGATTAGCAACGTTAAACAAATTTAATTAATAATAAAAACAATTTTAATAAAAAATTAAAACATAAAAAAGAAACAGGGATTAACATCCATTATTTCAGTTCTTGTTCTCTCGTCCTTTCTGTGATGAAGCTTGCTGGAGCACTCGTCGGAAAT